TGTAGTATGCTGGAGGCCGTTGACAGCGCTGACCGTAGGGGTGGGCTGTGATGCTGTAGGCACGTGGCCGGGTGTACCGGATGCCCGTTTGGTATCTCGAGAACCCTGTTCACATCGTTTGGGGCTGTGAGCGAAACTCCGGCCGGATCTCCTCATGGATGGAACCCGAATAGGCGATAAACCTGGACTAGAGACTTGAGTGTTTAGGCAGGTCGTGGTCTACACCCACGTCATCTTTCACTTGAAGTCTGCCGAGCACATGTCGTGTGCAGACGCTAAGTGGTGGAAACATGTATGAAGAAGTACACCCCTGCAGGGTTAACATGATCTATTCGAATAGCCGTGTCCACGGTAAAGGACTTCTGGGTTGCTTATATCAGTTCATAGACAAGTGAAAGTGGATACTCTAAAATACGCAAGATAAGCGTGAGTGCTATGGATGGCGTTCTCGTAGGGAGACGGGAGCGGATCCATAGTGGTGTATTGATATGGTGAATATGTGGACTCGTGTGCGCCACCTCAAAAGAGTTACTTGCAGTCGTAGTTCAGGATAGCCATCGAGTCAAAGCTGGCTTGCTGCAGTTAAACCCCACCATCCCCTTTGTTGAAAATAATGCATATGTAGTTAGTTCTGATGTAAGTCTTGCTGGGTACATTTGTACTCACATTTGCCTATTTTATGTTTTTGCCGAGAGACTTCAGTCTCACTAGTAGTTTCGCGTGGACTTCGACGTTTAGCTTGTTACCTCAGCTATGATCTTGTGCCCCGGCAGGATCTGGTAGATAGTCAGGCTTCTCAGCCTTTTTCATTTATAGATGTCTGTACTCAGACATGATAGCTTCCGCTTGTGCTTTGACTTGTATGCTCTGAATGTTTGGTCGTGAGACCCCTGTTTGTAATATCTCGCTCCTCGGAGCCTATTGAATAAATACTTGAGTCGTAGAGTCATGTTGTGATGCCATGTTGTGTTTGCACATATCGAGCATATTGTGTGTATGTTATTGAAATGCTTGGTATGTGTGGGATCTGACTATCTAGTTGTTTATCTTTAGTAGCCTCTCTTACCGGGAAATGTATCCTAGTGTTTCCACCGAGCCATGGTAGCTTGCTACTGCTCTGGAACACTTAGGCTGGCCGGCATGTGTCCTTCTTCGTTCCTGTGTCTGTCCCTTCGGGGAAATGTCACGCATTGAGTACCGGAGTCCTGTTAGCCCGCTACAGCCCGGTTTACCGGAGTCCTGCTAGCCCAGTGCTACAGCCCGGACCCACTTGCTAATGACCGACACGTTCGATGCTGGGTCATGGATGCCTGTCCCTGTAAGTTTGTGCCACTTTGGGTTTACGACTAGCCATGTCAGCCCGGGTTCTTTGTCATATGGATGCTAGCGACACTATCATATACGTGAGCCAAAAGGCGCAAACAGTCCCGGGCCAGGTAAGGTGGCACCCGTGGGAATACCGTGCGTGAGGCCGCAAAGTGATATGATGTGTTACATGCTAGATCGGTGTGACTTAGGATCGGGGTCCTGACACTAGGTTTCTTAGGATTGATAAAGCCGGGAGGTTGTTTAACATAAACTTCCTCTATTTCACCATTTAGAAAAGCACTTTTAATGTCCATTTGGTACAAGGTGATATCATGTTGATTAGCATAGGCAAGTAAGATGCGAATGGACTCAAGTCTAGCAACGAAAGCATAAGTCTCACCATAGTCCATACCTTCGACTTGTGTGTAGCCTTGGGCAACGAGACGTGCTTTGTTGCGAACTACTTGTCCATCTTCATCTTGCTTGTTGCGAAGCATAAGTCTCACCATAGGACCTTGAGAAGAAGTAAGTAAGTCTAGAGGGGGGGGGTGATTAGACTACTTGACCAATTAAAAACTATGCCTTTTACCAATTTTAGACTTTGGCAGATTTTAGCTATCTTGGCACAAGTCAAGCAGTCTTCATACAATTCAAGCAAGCATGCAAAAGAGTATATGAGCAGCGGAAAGTAAAGCATGCAACTTGCAAGAATTTAAAGGGAAGGGTTTGGAGATTTCAAACGCAATTTGGAGACACGGTGATTTTTGAGCCGTGGTTCCGATAGGTGGTGCTATCGTACATCCACGTTGATGGAGACTTCAACCCACGAAGGGTAACGGTTGCGCGAGTCCACGGAGGGCTCCACCCAAGAAGGGTCCACGAAGAAGCAACCTTGTCTATCCCACCATGGCCGGCGCCCACGAAGGACTTGCCTCACTAGCGGTAGATCTTCACGAAGTAGGTGATCTCCTTGCCCTTACAAACTCCTTGGTTCAACTCCACAATCTTGTCAGAGGCTCCCAAGTGACACCTATCCAATCTAGGAGACACCACTGTCCAAGAAGTAACAAATGGTGTGTTGATGATGAACTCCTTGCTCTTGTGCTTCAAATGATAGTCTCCCCAACACTCAACTCTCTCTCATAGGATTTGGATCTGGTGGAAAGAAGATTTGAGTGGAAAGCAACTTGGGGAAGGCTAGAGATCAAGATTCATATGGCAGGAATGGAATATCTTGGCCTCAACACATGAGTAGGTAGTTCTCTCTCAGAAATAGGATGCTGGAAGTGTAGGCTTGTTCTGATGGCTCTCTCCACGAATAAAGAGGAGGTGGAGGGGTATATATAGCATCCACAAAAAATCTAACCGTTACACACAATTTACCAATCTCGGTGGGACCGAATCAACAAACTCGGTCAGGCCGATTTAGTAAACAATGTGACCGTTAGGGTTTTCGGTGGGACCGAAATGCAACTCGGTAGGACCGATATGGTAGGGTTAGGGCATAACGTAATCTCGGTGAGACCGATTACACAAACTCGGTGAGACCGATTTTGGTAATAAGCTAACTAGAGAGTTGGTCAGGCAAACTCGGTGGGACCGATTTTGGTAATAAGTTAACCAGAGAGTTTGCATTGTAATCTCGGTAGTACCTATTGCTCAAACTCGGTAAGACCGATTTTGATAATGGACATACACAGAGAGATTACAATCCCATCTCGGTGAGACCGAGATCCCTATCGGTGAGACCGATTTTCCTAGGGTTTGTGGCAGTGGCTATGACATCCGAACTCGGTGGCGCCGGATAGAAAGAATCAGTGGGGCCGAGTTTGACTTTAGGTTTAGGTCATATGTGTGGATGTGGGAAAGTAGTTGATGGCTTTGGGGCATATCACTAAGCACTGTGGAGCAAGAAACTCATTAAGCAACACCTCATCCCTTCTTGATAGTATTGGCTTTTCCTATAGACTCAATGTGATCTTGGATCACTAAAATATAAAATGAAGAGTCTTGATCTTGAAGCTTGAGCCAATCCTTTGTCCTTAGCATCTTGAAGGGGTTCCACATCCTTTAGTCCATGCCACTCCATTGTTAAACTTATCTGAAACATACTAGATAAAAGTGTTAGTCCAACAAGAGATATGTTGACATTAATTACCAAAACCACCCAAGGAGCACTTGTGCTTTCACCTGGCCAGAAGAACCTTCTACTGTGCTTGTCAAGTTTTTCAATAAAACGTTTTGTTCATGAGCCACATAGGCATATGATAAAGAGAGATTTGAGTGAGGACAAAATCTAAAAGGGCGTGCCTCCAACCCATAGATGCAGCATTGCCTACCCAGCCATCAAATTTTTCCAGGTAATTGCCAATAACAAACTCCCAATCTGAGTTTTTAAGCGTTGTAAAACTAACATGCATTCCAAGATACTTAAGAGGGAAGCTACCAATATCGCAATTGAATAGTTCTGCATATTCTTTCACCACACTATCATCTCCCCTCACTGTTAAGATCTCACTTTTCTGAAAATTAACCCTAAGCCTGGACATCATTTCAAATATGTAGAGCAGCAACTTCAGGTTAACTGCCTTGTCAACATCATGATCTAGGCAGATGATAGTATGATGCACGTATTGAAGTAGGGCCACACCATTAGGGATGAGGTCAGGTGCCATGCCCACCACCAGGTATTTTTTGGGCATTCTTTATCATCTTAGTGAGGCAATCAACAACTAGATTAAAGAGAAAAGGAGAATGGTGGGTCACCCTGACGCACTCCTTTGGCACTTTGAAAATATGGACCTACACAATTGTTAAGCTTGATGCTAACCGTGCCATTATGGAGAAATCTGCTTGATCCATCCACACCAGGTATCACTAAATCCTCGGAGTTCATGACAATCGAGGAGAAAATCCCAATTCACCTTATCATATGCTTTCCCAAAGTCCAATTCTAACACCACCCCCAATTCTTTTCACATGGGTATAGTTCAGGAGTTCATGCAGAGATAGCACACCGTCCATGATATTTCTTCCTTTAAAAAAGGCACTCTGTGTAGGGCTAATTAACTTGTTGGTATACTTAGCTACCTGACAATCTAACGCCTTAGTTAACAGCTTATATGAACAACGCAACAGACAAATAGGCCAGAATTGCTGAATCCTATCAGCTCCAGATATCTTGGGAAGGAGGGTGATAACACCATAGTTGAGACGCTGGACATCCAGTGTCCCATTATGATTATGAAAGTGCTTGAACAAGGACATAATATCGTCCTTGACAATCTCCCAGCATGCCTGATAAAACTCAGCAGGGATATTATCTGGTCCAGGGGCTCTATTAGAGTCCATTGCAAACAAAGCTTCCTTCGCTTTGCGTCTCACTAAACTCTCTACACAGATCGATATTGTCATCTTCGTTTAACCTCTCGTTTCAAGATGAAAATGTTTACCAGGAGCCGGTTGTTAGTTGATGGTGATATGGTGTCCAAAATAAGCAAGTTCCGGTTTGTATGTCATGCATGCATGCATGCACGTCAAAAAAAGGTGAGGTAGCATGGACGCCGGCCGGCCAACCAACCTCCTTTCCTCTCCTCTCCACTCCTCCTTTGGTGGTGATATAGTAGCTATCAAACAGTTGCATCCACGTCCGTACGTCGGCATTGAGATTTGAGAGAGAGAGGCCGGCGGCAATGGCGCGGATGACGCTCCTCCTCCTCCTGCTGCTCCTCCTCCTCCTGGGCACGGCCGCCGCCGACACCACCTCCACTACCAGCAGCACGGCCGCCGACACCATGTACACCACCACCAGCAGCAGCGAACCGACGAGCGACCAACAGCAGCAGCAGGCGTCGTCGCCATCATCATCATCATCATCATCCTCTCCAGCAGGAGCAGGAGCAGAAGCAGAAGCAGCAACACCATCATCATCGTCTCCAACAGGAGCAGAAGCAACACCATCACCGTCCTATCCAGCAGGAGAAGCAGCAACACCATCATCGTCTCCAGCAGCAACAACACCGGCATCGTCTCCGGCAGGAGCAGGAGCACCGCCGCCCCCGCCGGGGGCGGGGTTCTACAAGGGCATGTCCCGCGAGTTCGTGAACGAGCACAACAAGGTGCGCGCCAAGTACGACGCGCCGACGCTGGCGTGGGACAAGACGCTGGCCCTGTACGCGCGGCGGTGGGCGGCGCAGATACAGCAGGACTGCGACCAGGCCCGGCACTCGCCGCAGGCCCATCCGCTGGGGTACGGCGAGTGCTTCTTCGTGGGCAACAATGGCACCGCGGAGGACGCGCTGTGCAGCTGGGAGAGGGAGGAGTACATCTACGAGAAGGGCACCAAGCACTGCACCTCCGGCCACGACTTCCGCGATTGCGGCCACTTCGTCATCATGATCGAGAAGACGTACCACTACGTCGGCTGCGGCCGCGCCCCCTGCCTCACCGGCCCCCGTCAGGGCCAGTTCTTCATCTCCTGCAACTACAGCGCCGTTAGGCCCAACACCACCACCGCCTCCGCCTCCAACCCCACCTGAACCGCCACCGGAGCCGGAGCCGGAGCACCATCATCCACCTTTTTTTACCTACCTACCAACCTATCTATCTATCTATCTATCTAGATATCTGCTCTACATGCAATGCAAGCAAATGTATATCATCTACACACATACATAGTGTATATTTACTACGGAGTACCTGTGTAAAAAATCGATTTGAATTTCCTTTGGACGATTTCGGCAATTTCTCTTCTCTGCTGTCAACTAAATGGATCATCACAATATCAATGTAGCTTCAAACATTTAATTGCCTACTTCATTCATTCATTACTTACGCGCACAGAGATGCATGTATCTCTCTCTCTCATACAAGAACATGACCGGTCCATCGACGCAGCAAACCGCGTTTTTTTTCATCATACAAGGGTCCATGATATGAGATATGAGATATGAGTGAGCGATCAATCGATTAACCTACGGTACAGATTGACTGAACAACATCAGCTTCGGCTTGTGCGATCAGGATCAGATCGATAGAACATTTCATCATCTTCAGTGGATGACCGGCTTGAGGGGCTGCGCTCTCAGCTTGGACATGTCCAGCGCCGCGTCCAGCTCCTCGTCCACCTCACCCACCACGCCTCTGCACACGCCGTCAACAAACAACTTCATTTTTACATACATACATACATACATACATACATACAAATTCAGTTAATGCATAGTACATATCACAGAAGTGAAAGGGGCACTACGCACATGTTGTCGCCCCTGATGATGTACAGTCCGAGGACAAGCTGCTGTACTCCCTCCTGCAACACAACACAGTGTCTGTCAGCAGGGAGATTGACAGGGAGGGAGGGAGGGTATAAATAAAACTCAACAAGAAGAGTCAGTCAGTGTCCAAGGAACTAGTACGTATAATTTATTTATTTATTTATTTATGCAAGAAAGACAGCAAGTCTTGTAGGATTTCCATATGCCAAAACCTTGTATGATGATTACAAAAAGGAGCCTAGCAGAAACAGCGAAACTGGATGAGGAAAAAGGATGGGGCTGAAAAGTTGATTTCATAAATAAAACCAGGGCAGCAGAGCACACAGACAAGAGTAAGCTTACTAGCATTAGCATGACACCTTGTGAACAAATAAGCAGTAGAGGTGGAGGTAATGAGGTACTTATACAAGAGAAGAGAAAAGTGGAGTATTCCTTGGACCTAGTATATGAGAAGATCCTCCACATTTCATAGGAAAATAAACATTAGCCTAGACTCTAATGGGAAAAAAAAATCCTATTCCTATGATTTTCCTACCCTATGAACCAAAGGAGGCCTTAATAAGCATATATATGAGCTAATAAGGGGTGGGTGAAGCAGAGGTAGGCTACACAGGGGCAGGCAGGTTGTCGGTCCATGATGTACATACAATTTTTGTGTCCTTGAAGGCAATAAATAAATAAATAAATAAATAAATCCTAGACTAGAATTGTTTGTGTCACACAAGGCCAGGGTAGTGCAATGCACCTCTACCTTGGTGAGGATGTAAGTAAATAGAGTAGTGCTACTAGTAGTGTATATATATGATGACTGACGTTTTGGTATTACCTTAGTGGAGTAGACCCTCTCGTGGGACTCGTCGAGGATGATGTTGGTGGCCTGGTCGAACCCCCGCAGAGTCCCCTGATTGGATTGATTTTTGTTATGAGAGCAGAGCAATGGCCAAGAAAGAAAGAAAGAAAGAAAGAAAAGAGCTTAAATTACCACGATGTTGCGGCCGTCGTTGGTGATGACGGAGATCACTTCTACATACATACATACATACATACATACAGAAAACAAGAAAGAAAGACGGTGAGATTGAAACTGAAACAAGCTGCTAGGTTTAGGGAGGGAGGAAGGAAGGAAGGGGAAGGGAGGCTCACGGTCGACGAGGGACTCGAGCGTCGGCCCCACGGACGCCATCCTCTCCTCTCCTCTCCTCTCCTCCTCGGGCTTGGGCGGCGGCGGCGGCGGCGGTCGAATCGAATAGAGGAATCGAGGGACCTAGGGTTCCCTCACTTGACTCCATCACAACAGACCAGACCAACAAGAAAGAAAGAAACTTGGTGGGCTGGGCTGGGCCGTCGTGTGTCTCCTTTCTGGCTGCCTGCTGTTATTATTAATAATTATGAGCGGCGACGGACGACCCGGCCCAAACAGAGCAGAGCAGCCGCCCTCTCTCTTTCCCTCCTCCTCCGCCGCCGCTTCTCCCCTCCCTTCCAAACCAGAGAAGAAAAAGAGAGAGAGGGAGAGATGGACGCCGCCGCCGCCGCCGCCGCCGGGAACGGCAGCAGCAGCAGCGTGATGTGCCAGCTGGTGAGCGCGGAGGGGGAGCAGCTGGGCGCGGCGCTCTACCTGCCGCACAACGTCGGACCGCCGCAGCTCCAGGACATCGTCAACCAACTACTGCACAACGTCTTCTTCTTCTTCTTCTTCTTCTTCTTCTTCTTTTCACTACTTCTTCCTTGATTCTCAAACAGATGCAGATGCTAATTGCAGGAGGACAAGCTTCCCTACGCCTTCTACGTCGGCGATGAGGAGCTCTCCCTCCAGCTCGGCGCCTTCATGCAACGCAACAACGGTCAGTCAGTCAGTCAGTCTCTTCCTATCCTTCCTTCTCTCAAATTAAAAATTTGATTTGATTTGACAGCCACCGCCGAGGTCACCCTGCGCATCGTCTACCAGCCGCAGGCCGTCTTCCGCATCAGGCCCGTCAACCGCTGCTCAGCCACAATCGCAGGTAGGTACCTCGCTACTTCCATCCCATCCCATCACTCCTGCTTCTCTTTCTGCTCCGCTCTGCTTGCTTCATGTCAGTAGCAAGGAATGATGGATGCCAATCTGAGTTCCCATCTGCCTGCAGGCCACACGGAGGCTGTATTGGCCGTTTCTTTCAGCCCCGACGGGAGATGCCTGGCTAGCGGTTCAGGCGACACCACCGTTCGCTTCTGGGACCTCAGCACACAGACCCCATTGTACACATGCAAAGGTCAGTCACTCACTCCGTTTCTCAGCTTGAATTCTTTCTTTCTGCCCATTCTCTATGCATGCTTGTTACATTCTGCTGCTCATATACTACTGGATGGAGTAATGGGAATTCATCTTTCTTTGCCTCTGCTCTGCTCTGCTCTGCTAGCTAGCTCTTGTAACATTATGATGCTATGCTATAAAAATTTGATTGTCTTTCTCATCTCTTCTGGGACTCTTATCACTCTTTCAGCTAGTTCCATTCGCACATCTGCACTCCTTTTGCCTGGGCGATATTGTCGCTACTTTGAAAGTGTTATGAAATAACCCTGTATTTTTCTAGGCCACAAAAATTGGGTTCTCTGCATTGCATGGTCACCTGATGGGAAACATCTTGTTAGTGGAAGCAAGTCAGGAGAGCTTATATTATGGGACCCCAAAACAGGCAATCAATTGGGCGCTCCTCTTACGGTAAGATTGCACATTTCTTTATCTTCAGACATCTAGAATCTACTGTAAGATCGAATAAGATATTATCTCATTTCTTCATTTCCATATCACACTCCATTATATCCTAACCTAATCGTCAAGTGAGAATTTGCTATCAACCATTTACCAAAATAAATAATAATAAAAAAAACGTCTTACATTATGGGACGGAGGGACTAGTTAGCAACAACTACAGGTTCGTTTCTTTCCTAGCAGACAGAGTTTCCTACCGCAGATTGCTAGAAAGAGGATGTCTTTTCCACTCTTGCTGCATCTAGTCATTCATTCTGGTGTCTTTGCAACAGGGACATAGAAAGTGGATTACTGCTGTATCTTGGGAGCCAGTTCATTTGCAATCTCCTTCCCGCCGTTTTGTAAGTGCAAGTAAAGATGGCGATGCACGAATCTGGGACATTACCACGAAGAAGTGTGTTATTTCCCTTTCAGGTCACACCAATGCTGTGACCTGTGTCAAGTGGGGTGGAGACGGTTTGATATATACAGGGTAAGATTGTTACTTGCTAGTCCTTTTTCTTCTTCGGTAAAAGGAAACTGTATGTGTGAACTAAACATGCATGTATTGTTGTCTAGTAAATCACTGTTGTTGGGCTTTATGATACAATGATGTGTGGAAGATGGTGTGTAAGCTTAACTGTATAATAATACTTGGCATTTTCTCTTTGGATAATTGTTGTCAACAAGAACAAAAAGCCTGTGCCTGCTATCAGACAGCTCCCTATATTTACTGCTATTGACTTAATGTACCATGTGGTAGTAAGAATATATGTTGTTGCGGGTAGGTTAACTTTGCTACGGGTGATTGTTCTTGATGGTTCATTAGCTCCTTGTTATTTTTACTTTTATTTGTTCTTAAATACTTGTAGCTACAGTTATTGGCAAAGAGATTGACTGACACACCCGGCACCCTAGATGGCTAAAGGCCATTAACTGAAAGCATATTCTGAATCATTTACATCCTTAACCATAAATGTCTAGTGTTGTCATGAATGGCGTTTATGAATTTCCCCATTTCAGGTCATATATTACATATGCAATTCTGAAAATAATGTCTTTCTACTGCAGTTCTGAAGATTGTTTAATCAAAGTATGGGAAACTACTCAAGGCAAGTTGGTCAAAACACTGCAGGTAATGTTAACAATTCCAAGCATATTCTTCTGCAAATGCTTATGCACAATAATGAAATCAATGTTCCTTTTACAACCCACTGTACGTATGCCTTTCAAGTCATGTCATGTTGTTATTATCAAAGTAGGATTTGTCCAACTCGTGTAACTACATTAATGGCCAATAACATGCCTGGTCAACTTTCTGACTAAATGTCAACACCAATCCACCTTCTTTTTTTGATTGGCTATGGTAACGAATAACGTATTGAGATTAGTCAGAAATTCCCTTCATAGCCGTCTTTGTCATCTCAATAATTAATCATATTCTAATTTGGTATCATCGTTAATGGTGTCACTATGTTTGCTTAGATATTCAAAAATTGCATTTACAACACACAGGGATATTACCCGAGTTGCTTGGAAGATTTCTTCGCAGAGGAGAATTCTTGTAGCTGAATGTGTTTAGCCAGTCTCTCACCCAACTTGTTGTCACAGTGTAAAAATTGTTAAACAAGTTTTGTTTTTTTCAACCAATGAGATATGATGAAGTCACAGTCTTGAAGTGTCTTGTCCTTTGCAAATTCTGTGTTCCGTTGAGCATATAACTTTCATCTTCAGTAGGGTGTCAGTTTATAACGTTCATGTTCAGCCCTGTTAGAAAGAGGGTCATATTGGCAAAAGTTTAGGACATAACTGGGCGCTAGGTTCCCATAGACCTCCATCTCAAGGTATAGGCTTTGAACTCAAGTATGTACTTACTAGATTGATCTGCCAACCTGTCTAGTTTCATGGGCGGAGTGGAACACTTGAGGAGGCTGACCATAGCGCACTAGACTATCAGATTTTGGTCATGCTGGGATGCTAGCCATCAACAGAATAAGCTCATGTTTATGGCCTGTATGCTAATATCAACCGACCATGGTTATTTCACTTGCTCTTCTATGCATTTAGACTATCAACTTTGATTAATCAAACAAATCCACCTACGAAAAAGTTCCACTGTAAAAAAGGGTTTATTCGATATATGCGACATCTTTATTGGCATTTATTGATCTACCCAAGTGTTGGCAGCGGCATTTCCGTAAGCACTTTTGCAGTTCAAAATTTGCATTTACAAGACACAGGGATATTACCCAAGGAGTTACATGGAAGATTTCTTTGTAGATGAAAATTCTTGTAGCCGAATGTGTTTAGCCAGTCTCTCACCCAACTTTTTGTCACAATGTAAAAGATGTTGAACAAATTTTTTTTTTCAACCAGAGAGAGATGATGAAGTCACAGTCTTGGAAGTAAACTGCTTGTAAAAGTGTCCTGTCCTTTGCAACTTATGTGTTTAGTTGAGCATATAACTTTCATCTTCAGTAGGGTGTCAGTTTACAACTTTCATGTTCAGACCTCTTAAAAGAGGGGCATATCAGCAAAAGTTTAGGACATAACTGGGTGTTAGGTTACCATAACTGGGCATATCAGCAAAAGTTTTGAACTCAAGTATCTACTAGATTGATCCTGCTAAGCTGTAACCGAACAAATCCACCTACGAAAAGATTCCACTCTAAAAAAGTGTTTATTCGATATATGCGACATCCTTATTGGCATTTATTGATCTACCCAAGTGTTGGCAGTGGCATTTCCGTAAGCCTTTTTGCAGTGCTATTTTTCAAATAATCAAAGTTGGCAATGGCACATATCGAATTAACCCTAAAAACTTTTGTACCTGCATGCTATGAGTAGATCTTGCTCTGGTTTCTCAACTCTGCTTTTCATTTGTGTTTTAATATTTAATATGTACGTTGTGACCAGTATACCAGCACCAAGTAGAGATCCTTCAGTTATGAGCTATGAACTCTGTCGTGGGTGAATTGAGTCTGTCAAATGCTTTTCAACTGATTTTCATTGTGATTTTGGCGTGCACTTGGCGTCGTGTTCCATGAGTTGAGTTGTCATCACACTATCAAATCAGCGATCCCTTTTTTGTGTGTGGTGAAACCATCCCATATTGAGTTTTTGCTATTCATTTTTGACATAATTATATTTATGTATTCAGGGTCATGGGCACTGGGTAAATTCGCTTGCCTTGAGCACAGAATATGTTCTCCGCACTGGGGCATATGACCATACCAGCAAGACATTTTCAAGTCCAGAGGAAATGAAAGAGGTAAGTTCACGTGTGGCACAGATTTTGTTTTTTAAAATTTGTTATGCTTTCTGTAACGATAAATTAGGTTTTACTTAAGCTGATTGATTGGCATTATTCTTATGGTAAAACTTTGGAAGTGAGACTGTACAACTGACAGCTTTGCATGTTTAGGCAGCTCTTGCAAGATATGAGAAGATGAGGGGTAATGCTCCTGAGAGGCTGGTCTCTGGTTCAGATGATTTTACCATGTTTCTTTGGGAACCAACGATTAGCAAACAGCCGAAAGCTCGCATGACTGGTCATCAGAAGGTATATTATGATATTATTAGTCTTTTGCGCTCCCCTGCCCCCTGTAAGTTGGACATAACAATGAATCTTTGACGTTAACTCAACCGAGTCGTCACATAATAAATCATTTAGAAAGAAAAACAGACGAGTGTTGAAATTGTTAGAACTTATGGCTTTGCATCCGTGCAAGGCAACTCATTTGGCCGAAGCTATGCTTACAACTGTTTGCGCTGTCTGTTTTGCCGTGTGCGTGCAGGTGGTGAACCATGTCTACTTCTCCCCTGACGGGCAGTGGCTGGCGAGTGCCTCCTTTGACAAATCAGTCAAGCTGTGGAACGGCATCACGGGCAAGTTTGTCGCAGCTTTCCGAGGGCATGTCGCGGATGTGTACCAGATCAGGTCAGCAGCAGCAGCAGGCCTTTCTCTAGAAACATCAATACATACATTCCCAGTTTCACATGGATCTGATGCGTATAACAATCTAACATGATGGTTGTGTTTTGTATAGCTGGTCCGCCGACAGTCGGCTCCTACTGAGTGGAAGCAAGGATTCGACCCTAAAGGTAAGTAATGTCATGTTTTTGTTGGCATTTCATCGCGTCATTAGAGTAGAGAAGAAGATGATGCATTTTGTGCTTGTCGATTAGTTGATGACATGCCATGACATGAATCAGGTGTGGGATATCCGGGCGCGCAAGCTGAAGCAGGACCTGCCAGGGCACGCGGACGAGGTGTACGCCGTGGATTGGAGCCCCGACGGCGAGAAGGTTGTCTCTGGTGGCAAAGACAGGGTCCTAAAGTTGTGGATGAATTAAGCTTGTACTAGTACGTATCTACTACTTGTTGTCTGTTGGGGAGCAGAGACTTGGTGTGTTGGTCCGATGAACTAAGACAGGCTTGTTGACAAATGTGATGTTCAATGTATTGAGCATGTGGATGATGGGGGAGGATAAGCCACATGATCATGAATGTTAATTACTCTAGATGCTCGTGTTAAAGTTTGATTTTGCACCCTGATAAGTGCCACACGTGTGGACTAAAGGAGGCGTGAGTAGACTTATCATATAGAAAGGAAAGAGATAAGCGGAGGGAGGATGGTTTGATGATAGCCAACATCTCCATCTCATTTGTCACTCTCGTATTCTTAATAGGAACCATTAGGCCATTGCCATTTGTGTGGCCTAAAGGAGGCCGGGCCACACACCCTTCTAGCCATCTATTATGCAAATAGGCAAGAAAACAGATTATGTCGGCGGGAATCTTTTGGTTTTCAAACTTTAAAATGTTTTATCTCTTAAATGACAATTTCGATTGAAAATCCGTTTTCACCACTAAATGTGTCACGACAAGAACTTCAAAACTAGATCCCATATCGATATCGATATGTTCCGATGGTGTTTTTTGATGGTCAAAAGTTGCCATGTCTATTGCACATAAATTGCCATGATATATTTTAACTACTTTTTCTTCTATGTTTAAAGTAAAATTTAACATGTTATAAAAAAGAAATTAAGAAATTAAACTTGTCATGGTGGATTACTAAGATTTGTCATGATCCGTGAAACAATTTTGACATGGTTCATAATTAAAAAGAAATCCGTCATCAGCTACTTTAAAAATGCATGGTCAATGACTCAAATTTGCCATGAATCAGAAACTAAAATTGTCATGGTGAATTACTTAAATTTATCATGATACATGCACAAAATTTTGCCATGGTTCATACAAAAAAAATAATCTCTATGGTTAAAATACTAAAATTGCCATGATCTATAAACCAAAATTGTCATGATCCATGAATTGACTTTGCCCTGGTTAATTACTAAAAATTGCCATTGTGAACTAATAAAATTTGCCATGAAAAGTAGTTGAAATACAATTGTAGTTTTAAATTCAAAAGAAAAAAAGATGAAACACATCATGGCAACTTTAGTGTAAACACCGACAACTTTAGTGTAACATCATGGCAACTTTTGGCCCCAAAAAAAGTCGTCGAAACATATCAATATGGGATCTAGTTTTGAAGATCTCGTCGAAACGGATTTAATGATGAGAACGGATTCTTAATCGAATTTTTTATTTAAAAGATCAAACATTTTTATTTAAAAGATTAAACATTTTTTAAGTTCGAAAAACCAAAAAAAATTCATTGATGTCATCTGTTTGATGTGGCAAAATGGATGGTAAGAAAGACGTTTGAACTATGTTACTTTGTGTCACACGTGTGGCACTTTATCATTTGGGTTGATTTTATATAATTTACTACTACTAGTAGTATTCTGGTTTGGTGATTATTATTTTGAAAATAGACAAGTTTGACTATCGTCTATTTTTGATCCATCCATACATACATCCATATATAGAAGAAGCAAGCAAGACAAGAGGGGATGAATGGGTGGTCACAAAATGATTTAGCTGTGCCACACTATATATTGCTCCTTCCCTATTTCCTTCCTCCCTCCCTACCTATTTAAGCCACTTTCCCTCAACAAACACCAATCTAATTCATCGCAATGGCGTCCCAAATGTCGTCGGCATGGACCGCTGTCGTCGTCATCGTCTCGTCCCTCGCCGTCGCTCTCTCTCGTAAGTGAACATTTCTGACCTCTCTTTCCTTCTTAATAATAATAATAATAATAATAATAATAATAATAATAATAATAATAATAATAATAATAATAATAATAATAATAATAATAATAATAATTTGTGGAGTGGAATTGCGATGATGAAGAAATCATCAAGGATTGGATTGGAATGGAATGCAGATGAAGGTGGCGGGCCGAGCTTCGGCTACACGCCGGGGACCCCCGACGGCCCGGAGAATTGGGGCAAGCTGAGCCCGACGTACAAGGCATGCGGCGACGGCAAGGCACAGTCCCCCATCGACATCGTCATCGCCAACGCTGTCCCTAACCCCAACCTCGACACCCTCACCCGCGTCTACGCCCCCTCCAATGCCACCCTCCACAACAACGGCAAGGACATCGTCATGACCTTCGAGCAGGGCGGCGAGCCCGTCATGCCGGGCTCCATCAACGTCACCACCGCCGACGGCACCGTCAAGGAGTTCAAGTTCAAGATGATCCACTGGCACGCGCCGGGGGAGCACACTGTCAACGGCAAGCGCTTCCCGCTGGAGCTCCACATGGTCCACGTCGACGACCAAGACCACAAGGCCGTCATCGGCATCCTCTACGAGATCGGCAACCCCGACCCTTTCTACGACCAGCTGACGGAGAAGCTACGCGAGCTCAAGACGACGCCTACCGTGGCGGCCGGTGTGGTGGAGCTCAAGTCGCTGCAGAAGCGGACGGGGAGCTACTTCCGGTACATGGGGTCGCTCACCACGCCGCCGTGCACGGAGAAGGTGGTGTGGAACATCCTGGGCAAGGGCAGGGAGCTGAGCCAGGAGCAGCTGCAGCTCATCACCGCGCCGCTGCCTCACCAGGACAACAGGCCGCCGCAGCCGCTCAACGGCCGCCAAGTCGCCTTCTACAACCCGCCAAACACCACCATCTCCATCCAATCCCTAGTACAATAAGCAAGACATAGTACATACTCCCTCCTCCATCCCATAATATAGGAACGTTTTTGACACTATACATATCAAAATGAGTAAACATCTACATACATACCAAAAGGTGTTTGAATACGTACAAAGTTGAAATAAACATAC